AAGTAGTATCTTTTAATCCCATTACTTAAATTTCTTACTTAAGTTGAACCGATCATTAGAAACCACTTGTTATGTATAATGTTCTTGTTATGACGTCTTGATGCTTGCTCAATCATCCAGGTAAGTAAATCTCCAAAAGTTGATTCTGTTCATCTGGACGTAGCGTTTTGTGGGAGAAACGTTTCGTCACTCATCCAAGTGATTTCTTCAGTCTCAGCTGACTGCAGGTTTCCCCAATCTTATAAACAGTACATTTGCATAATGACTTCAATGGGCTGGTTTCAGTCATTCCAAGAGGATGCCATCTGTAGTTTGTAGAAATGTATTGTCTAAGGAGTTGGAAAGAAAGACTTCTTCAAGTTTCTAGAAGACATTCTACCTTTGATCCAAGAGGCTTCTTCGGTTCTAAAACTTACCTATCCCCTTGCCAGTCCAACTTTCCCCTAAGAATTGCCTTAGTTTCTTTCTTTTTTTTTTTTTTTTTTGTGAAATAGATTCAACAACGTACTCTTCAGAGAGATTCTGGGGGATACTGACTTAACAGGATTATACAGTTCACATCTAGACCCTATTTAAAATATCTTGGAAAAAAACTCTGAACATGTCCACATCTGTCTTTGGATTGGAGGAAGCCAAAGAAGAACCTGAAGGGAAGCCACACAGGCACAGGAAGAATATGTAAACTACCCACGGAAAGGCTGGTTTGGAACAAAGATCTTCACTGTGAAATGCCAGTGCTTTGTGTTGTTTATGCTACATTAAATGCCACAGCACAAAATTGAGACTCATCACAGCGGCCACTGGCTTTCCAATCTTCTGTTGTCCAACTAATAGGAGTTGCAGCTAGTGTGGTCGTTGTCTTTGTTGCCATCATATCAACTTGAAGGATTATGTGCCTCAAACATTAGGCATCAACAAGGCATTTTCACCAGAAGAACTGCAGCTCACATTATATTTTCTCTTTTTCAGATCACTTACTGTAAATCCTAGAGATGATTGTGTGAAAAGTATTCTTAATAGCCTTGTATAGCAATGGGCAGACTGAGCACTGGGTTTCGACTGAACCCTGTGCCAGCGATGTCAGATGATAAAACATACCACATGGAAAACACTACAGCTTAACAGCTGATCTAAAAATCCTTTCCTCCCTTTTTATTCCCTTCATACAGAAAATGGAAGACGAAATTGCCGCCCTCGTTGTTGACAACGGCTCTGGAATGTGCAAAGCTGGCTTTGCAGGAGATGATGCTCCACGTGCTGTGTTCCCCTCCATTGTTGGACGCCCCAGGCATCAGGTACATATTCCTTAATAAACCTCACATACCTTGTAACCTTTTCAAAACTACTGACCTTTCATAATCGCACTGCTCTTTGCATTCCTAGGGTGTAATGGTTGGTATGGGCCAGAAAGACAGCTATGTTGGTGACGAGGCACAAAGCAAAAGAGGAATCCTGACCCTCAAGTACCCCATTGAGCACGGAATTGTCAACAACTGGGATGACATGGAGAAGATCTGGCATCACACCTTCTACAATGAGCTGAGAGTTGCCCCTGAGGAGCATCCAGTCTTGCTCACAGAGGCCCCCCTGAACCCCAAGTCAAACAGGGAAAAGATGACGCAGGTAACAAGAGCTGACACCTTGACGAACTTCCCCCTAAGTCAGGAAACTGCCCAACAACAGGAAACTATGTTGCCACTCGGGTGTTTCTTCCCCTGCTCAATCTGTCTTTCCTCATCCTCCTTCAACCCTCCAGGTTTTTTCTCCAGGTGTCTGCATGAAAAAACAAAGAAGAATAGAGCAGGTTGCGGCACTTTAACTTGTAGAGTCAGTGTAACAAAGGAGTTTTGTAATAAATTGCTTTTCTATAAAGTAGTTTTACTATTAAAATTCAACCCAGTGTGCTGTTCTTTCTGTACAATTGAACTAACACATAGAAACTTATTTCAGATTACTCTGACTCTTAGTTTCACTGATCATCTCTTTTCTCCTGCTCTCCTTGCAGATCATGTTTGAGACCTTCAACACTCCTGCCATGTATGTGGCCATCCAGGCAGTGCTGTCCCTGTACGCCTCTGGTCGTACCACTGGTATTGTCATGGACTCCGGTGATGGTGTCTCCCACACTGTGCCCATCTATGAAGGCTACGCTCTGCCCCATGCCATTGTCAGGTTGGACCTGGCTGGCAGGGACCTCACAGACTACCTCATGAAAATCCTGACTGAGAGAGGCCACAGCTTTACCACCACAGGTGAGAAAATGGACACAGTCAAGGAAAGATGGTTTGCACCAGGAAAACCCCCCAGAAAAGCCTAAATGTAATGCGTTTTCTTGTCTCACAGCTGAGCGTGAGATTGTGCGTGACATCAAGGAGAAGCTGTGCTATGTTGCCCTGGACTTTGAGCAGGAGATGGGAACTGCTGCCTCTTCTTCATCCCTGGAGAAGAGCTATGAGCTGCCTGATGGACAGGTCATCACTATTGGGAATGAGAGGTTCCGTTGCCCAGAGGCTCTCTTCCAGCCC